GCTCCAGTGCTGCTCATATTAGCATGTTAGCTAGCTGCTCAGTCCTACAGGCCGAAGACAACTGACCGCCTCAAACCTGCATCATCTCTAACAGCCAGCAGGGGGCGACTCCTCTGGTTTAAAACAGCATAGAAGTCTATGAGAGAATCGTCCGACTCATATCTACGTGTCGCTGTTTTCAAAATCCCCTTCAGGGCACGAAACAACATCCGAGTCTGAGCAGCTAGCTACACACTGAACATGGAAAACTCAGCTAAGGCTACTTTCATTCAGTAATTTCGCGTTTTAATGCCAGCGTTCGCCTCTTTGTGTGCAAATGTTCCACCAAGACTACGGTTCACTGCCGTGATGACGGTACAGTGGACCTTCTGTGGTCAATAACACCATTTCTAGCCGTGGACACAGAACATTAACCATAAAACTAGCTAGCCTGCATTAGCCCCTCAGCTATAAAAACACTACACCGATAAACTCTGGCTCCAATGAGCTCCAATCAGAGGTCAATACCTGCCAGAGAAGTCCCTTCATGGTGCCCATTGCTAGCCAAACTCCCACAATGCCCTCTGCTGCCACCATGACCTGTGGCGCCTCCTCTGGTCTCTACAGGATTAAACCGATCAGCTGATCAGAAGGTCCAGACTGCTGATCAGTTATTGATCAGAGTCTCACAACTAACGGCTGTGAGATGGTTCTTCAGAGGTTCTGTCTGGTTCTTCACAGCTCCATCATCAATTAAAGAAGCTCTTTATTTAGGGGATGGTTCCTTAAAGGTTCCTCGTGTTCAGTGGAGTTCTTTGGTTTGGTGACATTACATTTGACTTTTCTGCTTAAAAACGATCATCAGGTTGTGTCAGAACCAAGTGGGTCAATAAAGAACTATCTCAAAAATGGCTCCTCTTTGTAGTTTGAACGTCATTTATGGTACCTAAAGGAACTGAGTCTGAGGTTCTTCTTCTTTGAGGCACCTTCGAAGAATCTCTTGCTCAAAGGTTCTTTGTGAAGCTAAACACTGTTCTCCTTTGGCATCGCTGTGGAGAACCATGTTTGGTTCCAGTTAGCACTGAGTCCAATCTGCTGCCTGGAGCGGTTCTGTAGCTCCAAACAGCTTCCATCATGGTGTAGACGCTCCGTCCTCCATCAAACCAGCGTGTAAAGCAGAAGAAGACGGTCCCTGGCCCGACCCGTTGTGTTCCTCGTCGTTGTTATTCAGCTCGCCTCCGCCTGATTGGCCCGTTGGGCCCGTTTGGCCGGAGAACATCGGTTATGTGTTGTGTTCTGGCAGCGGACTGAAGAACCTCAGTGTTCCTCTGCGTATCTAATTCAGTGATTGAACGGCGGCTCTAATCAGGGGGAACCTTCTGCTAGCGCGCCGCCACATTGATTACATCCACAGATTATTAGAGCACTTTCACATACGGGGATTAACCCTGACGCTGCTAATCCAGACGCCACTTTGAACCAACTCAAAACTCTGCAGAGCTGCTGCTGCTTCCACAGATTTACTGTTTTTATGCAGCGACTGACGCCCAGCGCTGGTGTTAGGAGGCTTACAGCAGATTAGGAGCATCGCCGCCTTTACAGTACACATGTTATACCTCCATTGTTTACGCTAAGCTGAGCTAAACTCCTCATATTCAACACTTTAAGGGAATTTTCACACATAACTGACACTAAACTGCATGTTTGAGACTTTATCTGAAGTCACAGCTCCTAGTTTGTGAAAATGGTTTAGCACGAAGCTAAAACAACCGGAGCCACGTCCGTTCAGACACGGAACAGCGACGTTCTTGCTCGCTGACAAAAAGTCTTATTTAAATAAGAACATGTTAAAAATCGCCACAAACCCTCGACGTGATCAACAAGTCCTGTACGGGGTGACACACCTCGGCTGTCAGGGTGTCCGAGGACATGAAGTGAACAGCTGGACTTTCCCCAGGTTACAGTCAGGTTAAGGTTTAGGTAAAGTTAGCTGTAGGTTAGGTTCAAGTTAGGGTTAACTTTCGGCTAGTGTTGGTTAGATTGGGTTTAATGCTAAGGTTGGGCTAACATTAGCATGAGGTGGTCTCAGTTTGGCTGAGTTAGGTTAGGATAGGACTGAGTTTAAGTTGGGTTATGTTCACTCTAAGTTAGGGTTAAGCTAAGATTTAGGTAAGGTTATCGAACTTTACCTGAAGCTTAGCACATAATTAGGCTAACAGGTTAATGTTCACGTTAGCGCATGGTTAAGGGAAGATGGGCTTCATGTTTACGTCACGTTAGGTTACGGTTCAGGTTCAGGTTCAGGTTCAGGTTCAGGTTCAGGTGGGGTGGCACCAAGTTTGGTTAAAGGTGGAGTGAGTTAAGTTTGGTTAGAATAGGATCTGTTAGGTTTGTTTATGGTGAGATTATGTGTGCTTTAGGTCAGAGAGGTTTGGTTAGGTTTGGTTTAACTACAAGCTAGCATCGGTAAGATTAAGTTTAGGTTTAAATTAGTGCTAAGGTTTAGGTAAGGTTCGCACAAGGTGGTTTCAGTTGGGCTAAGTTAGGTTAGTCTAAGCCTTGGTTCAGGTTAAGTTGGGTTAAGGTTAGATTAGGTTCAGTCTAGACTAGGGTTAAGTTTAGATTATAATATGTGACAATTAGCACATAGCTAGGTTTAGGTTTAGGTTTGAGTATGGTTAAGGTTCAGGCTAGGTTAAGGTTCAGGTTAGGTTAAGGTTCAGGCTAGGTTAAGGTTCAGGTTAGGTTAAGGTTCAGGCTAGGTTAAGTTTCAGGTTAGGTTGCACCAAGTTTGGCTTAAGTCGGAGTGCAGTTAGACTAGATTCAAGTTTAGGTTGCCACATGTTAGGTTAGTTTACGGTTAGATTGTGTGTAGGTTAAAGTCAGTGTGAGGCTACTTTAGGTTAGGTTTAAGTATAGGCTAGTCTTGGTTAGGTTGGGTTTAGGTTTTTAAAGGGTTTAGGTGAGGGTTGGGTTAGGTTAAGGTTAGGTTTAGGGTAAGGGAGGATCAGTTAGGCTAAGAGATCAGGTTGGATCAGGTCCAACTTCAGGTGAAGCTGGATTAAGTCAAGGTTTGAGTAAAGTTAGCAACCCGACCGTAAGACTGGACGACTGGACTTAAGGTCATCTTAGATTAAGGTTCGGGTAAAAGTAGATCCAGTTTAAGGTCAGGTTTGGTTGGCGTGATGGGTGACAGGTAAGGATCAGGTGAGACTGGATCAGAGTCAGAATACGACATGTTGGTTCACGGTTTGGGTCAGAACAGGTCGGGTTGAAGATAGCGTGAGGTTAGGTTCTGGTTTGTAGTTTCTGGCTGATAAATGGACTTTAAAGCAGCCGGCAGGTTTTAAGGTTCTGACTATTCTGAAGCTCAAAGCTGCTGAATGAGAACTAAACGGTGGTTTAGAGTCAACAGGGTCCAGCGGTTCTGCCTCCGGACGGTTTGATAGGATCCAGTCAGAGATAGCAGACAGGAAATGAGAACCTGGAGGATCAGATAAACCCGAGCAGGAACCAGAACGTCAGCGTCTGATGAAACACTGAGTCCAGCTCGCATCAGATATGAAGGCTGTGTGAGACGTGACCGGACCTGCAGCGGTTCTGGACCTCTGGTTGTAGACGGTCGGTCCACAAACGAAACCCTTTCTGTCTCTTTGTGGCTGCTCTGATGTTTTCTTCTGTTGCTGTGAACATTTGGTCTCGGTTCAGTCGGACCAGCTCCGGGCCGGACCAGCTCCGGGCCGGACCCGCGTTCTCAGGCGGTCCTGTTGTTCAGAACATCGGATCACTGAGGAGGCTGCAGATCCAGTTGTCTGGAGAACACATCTGCACCTCCTCCACCAGAACAGCTGGAACCTCCAGCGCCGCGGCGTCGCCATGGCAACGGCATCAAATGTAGGTCAGGGCCAAACAAACAAGATGGCCGCCCCTTTTGTTTATCTGCAGCTGTTAGCATCCTCCTGCTAATGTCTGACGTAACGACGGTCCGGTCCAAACAGGACACGCCCACCAGTGACGTCACTGCTTCGTGGTTTCCAACGGCGACCAGGTTCTACAACAGGAGACCTGGAAACCTGCAGAACGGGTCAAACGCAGCAGAACAGCAGCGACCAGCCGAAACCCACGACTAGAGGACGAGTGTTTATCAGCTAACAGCTGGTTTCACATCTTATAGAGAAAACTATGAAACACTGGATCAGAACCAGCAGCAGGTTCCTCCTCACCAGGTCGCCCACAAACAGATGTAATGTCATCAACTGGACTGAAGCTAACCACGTCTGGTTCGGTCCAGTTCACCGTCTCAGAGGACAGAACCCAGAACACATGAAGGAGCTGAACCCAGAGGGTCTGGATTCTGATCGATCAGAACAGCTGATGATTCACGAGTCGCTGAGAACCCATCGATCAGCTTTACAGGAAACCTCAGCACCAGAACCTGGACCCAGTCCGTCGTCATGGCAACGATGGGTTCAGCCTTAACCATCACAACAGCCTCAGTGACGTCACTGACGGAGGTTGAACGTGTTTCTGGTGTCAGAGAGGAGTTTCAATAAAGTTTATGAAAACACCTGGTCCTGGTCCTGGTCCTGGTCCAGTCTGAGTGGGTCCATTCATCTGTCTGCGTGTTGTTGTTTCTATGTTGTGTATCAGTGTGTGTGTAAAATGTGTGTGTATATTGTGTATTTGTGTGTCTGTATACTGTGTGTATTGTGTGTGTGTATCAGTGTGTGTGTGTGTGTGTGTGTGTGTGTGTGTGTCTCCAGACTGCTTCTCTCCGCTGCAGCCGACTGACCCACTTTCTGCGGGACACCGAGCTGCTGCGGAGCCTCGGGCCGCCGGAGGGTTCTGGTCCCCGGCTGCACACAGACACGCAGCGGCCCACGCAGACCCACATCCAGCTGCTCACACACACTGAGACACACACGAGCCGAGACCCGCCGCGTCCAGCCGAACAAAGCCGAACAAAGCCTCCAGACGGCGGCGGCTCCGCTCCGCATCCCGCCGAACAAAGAGCTGCTTACCGGGAGGAGGCAGTGCAGCAGCACCGCGAGCAGCAGCACCGGCGGCAGCATGCTGGCCGCTCGGTCCGGGGTTCGGTCCGGGGTTCGGTCCGCGGCTCTAAGCTCCGGCCTGGTTCCTCTCAGTCTGCTGCGCATCCAAACAATGGCGATCCTTCTGCTGCATCGGAGCGATGCTCCGCAAAGATCCGTGTGCGGCTGGTTCCGCGGCTGCCGCTAACTGCGCATCCTCCTCATCCTCACCTTCATCAGCAGCGCAGCGCTCCGCAGCTCGAACCGGACCCGCTGTGGTTCTGCGGCCGGACTCCGGGGTCCATGCCGCGGCCTGGAGACGAGCAGAGGGTCGCTGTCGGTCAGCGGGATGAAGCTGCTGCTGCGCGGCTCCGCCCCGCCCTGCGCCCCGCTGGAGGCTCCGAGGAGACACCCCCACCTTCATCATCATCATCATCATCCTCATC